TCTTAGTTGGCTTATAAAAGCCCTTATTTGTTCTCCACTAGGCAAACACAAAAATTCCCTACTTTTTCTCTCTCCTGTGCAATTTTTCCCGAATTCAGAAACCTTTCACTCCTTCAAGCTTTTGTCGTTGCCTCCTTCCTTTCGGGCTCTCCACCTTCCCGGCGTATGCCATCACTAGCCCGCAAAGCCGGTCCCCCAAGGCGTTGAGGTCCCAGCCAGGCGTAGGGCTCGCCGATTTCATGGATGCCTATGTTTTCGAGCGGTTCCAGAGGCGCTGAGTTGGGGCTGCGCGGCGAGCTCCGACCAGCTTCTCAGCGTCGGTCGGAGCTGAGGTTTGGTTCTTCCCCTTTTTCCCCTTCGGCCGTCTCCCTGATTTGTGTTGTTGCTTGGTCGGTCGGCCTTGTCTGGCTTTCGGCTTGCGCGGCAACAACCGACTGGAGGTTTTCGGTGGAGCCGGTTGAGGGGTGGGGCTGGGCTGGGATGAGTCGTCCTCCGGTTGCCGGTCCAGAGGTGGTCCGTCCGGAGAAGATTGTTGTCATCTAATCCGGTTCCAGTTAGCTGTGGTTCACTAGAGTTTTTGGTTCGGTATTCTGGCCGGCGTCCTATTCGTGTGGGCGTATATCTTTGGGTGTCGGGTAGATGCGTGTGCGATTTGTTTCGCAGTTGGAAGGAGTCTGTTATTCTATTTAGTTTGTGTTGTTTTGTGGTGTATGTGTGGTTGTCTATGTTTTTCTTGTTTTTGTTTTATGCTTTTGGTGTTTCTCATCTTGTAGGAGCTTATTATCCTCTAGTAGAAGCTTTTGTTCTGTTCTGGGAGTTGTTAGTTTGGGTTTGTCTTGTGGGTGAGCTATTGTAGTCTTTGTTGGCTCTAAATTCGGTATCCTCCCGCTAGATTCAACTAGATAGTTGTTTGACTTTTCTAATTGTGTTCTAGTTGTATTTTATGTGTTTTTCTATATATTCTATCATTTTGTTAAAAAAAGGCCTTATTTGTTATCAAAACCCCCCTTTTCACCATTTTTTAAAATCCTCAAGCTTTATTGCGCACAACTTTCCTCATCAATCAACAATTACTGACGACTCTAATTCCCATAATTCGCACCAAATTTTCGACAAATTCCTCAGTCTCTCCAACTCGCAGCTTGTCAACGATTGACCATAGGTATATGATCTTACCTCCATTTGCTCTTTCCCTTGCTTTCTTCTTCAATTTCTTTTTCCTTTTTTTCTTTTTTTCTTTTTCTTTTTTCGGTCAAACACAGTAAATGCAACTCAATCGCACCTCATTCCACACCCAATCATCCAATAAATAACTCCGTTATCCCCATACATCNTCAGAGATCCTTCGTCCTGCTTCTCTAATAAATTCTGGCCAAGATGCAGTCTTCCAGTGAAACCGTCTCTTCTTCACAATCCAGACTCATCAACTACTCCAACCTCCAAACAACCCCAAATTCTAGTTGTTCCCATTTCTTTACGACGTCTCGACCAGGTCACCGCGGTCAAGGGTAAAAAAGACACTACCGTTCCTGACCTGGTCAGACTCGTAAAGACTAATCCTTTACCCTTCCCTGTCTAACGATCAACTTGCCTTCTTTTTCCAGGAGTGAGAGCTTCCCAGAACTTGGGAGCTCCGACCTCATAAATTACGTGGATCCTTCGACCAGCCCCATGAGGGTTTTTATTCCTTTTTGTAGTCTATATCTATTCGGAGCTCAAATTTCCCATTCAGCGTGACCTCATAGAACTTAGTTGCGGCCCTATAGGATACCTTTGAATCACTTTTCTCCCAATTCTATTTGATTCATGGTCGGATTTACTATTTTTAGGCGATGCCTTCTACAAACACTTGATACCAACCTTTTTCTCTTACTGCTACTAGATCAAACCTCAAAAGGGCTTCTTCTATCTCTCATCCCATAACAAGGCCAAGTTTCTGTCAATCCTCCTTCGAATGTGTCTTCTTGGAGTAAGAGGTATTTCTTTGTTTGACCTCCTCCGAACACCTTCAAATTTTCTCTTAATAATGAGGACAAAACTCAACACTTCAGTATGGGGACATGTTGTTCTGCATGCAGATGATCTAATTCGAATAAGACCAAGTACATACCATACATACTCGCCATTATAGTAGGCATATGGTCGAGAACTAAATATTGTACATAAGAGTTTTTGGTTGTGCAGTGTATGTACTAATTGCTCCACCCCAGCGTACAAAAATGTGGGCTCAAAGAAGGTTGGGAATATATGTTAGATATGAATCTCCATCAATAATCAAATACCTTGAGCCAAAAACAGGTGATGTTTTTACAGCTCGGTTTGACGATTGTCATTTTAATGAAGAATTATTTCCTCTCTTAGGTGGGAATGAAAAATTAATTGAAAGAAATATTGAATGGAGAACATCATCACTATCATATCTTGATTCTCCCACCAAACAAAGAGAGCAAGAAGTTCAAAAGATCATACATCTGCAGAATATTGCAAATCAATTGCCAGATGCATTTATTGATTTAAAAAGGGTGACCAAATAACATGTGGCAGCTGTAAATGCCCTTGCTCGAATTGAGATTCCAAAAGAAATGGAAAATGATAATATGCCAAATAAGTCAAAGACACTCTTGAAACGAGGAAGACCAATCGGGTCTAAAGATAAGACTCCTCGAAAGAAAAGAGAAATTCATGACCGGAATTTGAAAAAAAATCAAGATGATGGGAAAATTTCGGGAAGAAATGAAAATATTGAATTTTCCATATAATTACGTAAATAATGAGAATCTTTGGACGCGTGATGAGATCATAAATATTGATGATGCATTTGCATATATGGTATCGAAAGAAATTGATAATAAAGTTCAGGATCCTGAACCAAAATCTGTAATTGAATGTCAAAAAAGACATGGTTGGGATAAGTGGAAAAGGGCCATCCAAGCCGAGTTAGATTCACTCAATAAACGAAAAGTTTTGGGGCCTATTTCCATTGCACCAAAAGGCATAAAACCTATTGGATAGAAATGGATTTTCATCAGAAAAAGAAATGAGAAAAATGAGATCACATGATATAAAGCTCGGCTTGTAGCACAGGGATTCTCCCAAAGGCCTGGGATCGATTATGATGAAACATATTCCCCTGTCATGGATGCAATTGCTTTCAGATATTTGATCAGTTTAGCTATTTGTGAACATATTGAGATGCGTCTCATGGATGTTGTGACTGTTTACTTGTATGGATCATTAGACACTGACATTTACATGAAAATTCCTAAAAAAATCAGAATGCCCGAAGCACTAAACTCCAAACCTAAAGAGTTATGTGCGATAAAGCTGCAAAGGTCATTATATGGCTTGAAACAATCCGGGCGTATGTGGTATAATTGTTTGAGTGAACAATTGCTCAAAAGGTGATACTTAAATGATTATATATGTCTGTGTGTCTTTATAAGGAAATCACATGATGGAGTTGTGATAATTGTTGTATATGTTGATGATCTAAATATATTGGGATAGCAAATGAAATACGAGAAGCAGTCACTTTTCTGAAAGGCGAATTTGAAATGAAAGATCTCGGAAAAACTAAATATTGCCTCGGCTTACAGATAGAGAGAGTACAAAAGAGGATATTTGTCCATCAATCTAGCTATACTAAAGAGTACTGAAACGATTCAATATGGACAAAGCTAATCCCCTTAGTACTCCGATGGTTAACTGAACATTGGATGTTGAAAAGGATCCATTTCGACCTTGTGAAGAAAATGAAGAAATACTTGGTCCTAAGGTACCATATATGAGTGCAATAGGAGCTCTTATGTATCTTGCTAATTGCACCAAACCAAATATATCCTTTGCTACCAACTTGTTAGCAAGATATAACTCGTCACCTACGAGGAGACATTGGAATGGAATCAAGCATATATTCCGTTATCTCTAAGGAACAACCGATCTGGGGTTATTTACTCAAATGATAAAAACATGAAATGATTAGTTTTGCAGATGCAAGATATTTATCAGACCCATATAAGACGAGATCTCAAACTGGCTACGTATTCACGATTGGTGGAACTTCATTTTCTTAGCGTTCTTAGAAACAAACACTGGTTGCTACATCTTCAAACCATGCTGAAATCATTGCACTTCATGAAGCAACTAGGGAAAGCATCTGGCTCAGAAACATGACTCAACACATTCAACAAGCCAGTGGATTATCGAATAATAAAGATCCGACGGTGATATTTGAAGACAATGCAGCATGTGTCGCCCAAACCAAAGAAGGATACATTAAGAGTGACAGAACTAAACATATCCCACCAAAGTTCTTCTCGTACTCTCAAGAGCTTGAAAGGAACAATATTCAATACATCCGATCAAGTGATAATGCAGCAGATTTATTTACGAATGCGCTCCCAATTACAACATTCCGAAGCACATTCATAACATTGGAATGAGACATCTTCGAGATTTTCACAGATGATAACTCGAAGGGAAGCATGTGCAGCTGTACTCTTTTTTCCTTATCTCGGTTTTTTTCCCACAGGTTTTTTCGGATAAGGTTTTTAATAAGGCAGCATAAACGCACATTGCATAGTGTTAATTCCAAGGGAGAGTGTTATAAATAAGTGGAATGAATCAATAAGCATAAATAGTGACATTTCACTATTTAGAGAATTGGGAATAGTAATGGTGTATGGGGTATGAATAATTGGTGTAGAAAGTGTCGGTAGAATTTGCCTATAAAAGACAATGTAAATATAGCGAAAGAGTGCACATTAGAAGAAAGAAAGAAATATATTGAGTATAATTTATGTCCAGTTTCTATATTGTATATTGTGTTCTTTATCTTTCCATTTTTATAACAACTTTCAATTTATGTGTCAACTTGAAAACTTTATAGGAGAAACTTAAAATTTAAAATTGAATATTCTGAGAGATGAAAAAAAAAAAAATCCCAAAAATTATATAAAATTCAAGATGTAACATTTCTCAGGGCTAACTGCACAAAAGCTATGGCCACTATATCTTCTCTGCACACTCATTCCCTTCTCTCCCACCTCTCATTTTCCCCCTCCAATCCTTCCCTGCCACAAGGTCCACCCACCTTCATTATTGTCTTCGTCCTTACAGTTCTCTCATGGTTAAGTTACATTTTTTTCTCATCTTCTTTTTGTTGAGTTTTTTCAAGGCCCATGGAGGAACAAGAAACCCAACATTATCTGCTGCAAGGCTGAACATCAAAATCAATGGCAATAATTGTTGAGCTTTATCCCGCCCGTATTTTTATTTGTTCTTTTTTGTTTTTCTTCTTTTAAAACGAAATCAATTTCTGTGCTTGTTTGCTAACAGTGTGATTGTTGGAGAAGAATGTGGTACGAGGAGGAAGCTGATGTTTCAGGCATTTACTGCTGCGGTTACTTTTCCTGCGGTTGGTCCAGTTGCTTTGGCAGTTGAAAGTGGTATCTTTTTCCTTTTTTTTTTTTTTTTTNCCTTTCGTTGTTATTGTTGTTGTTGTTGTTGTTGTTGTTGCAAAAGGGCATACTTGATTTGCAATATGTGTGCAATTGAATTGGCTGGTAAGTTGGTCACAATCTTGAATGTGTACATTTTCCAGAGGATTTCCGTGTTTACACCGATGATGTGAACAAGTTCAAGATCAGTATTCCTCAAGGTTAGTGCTTGTGTTTAGTTATCCTGAATTTATTTCGAGTATGATTGTAATTTTGCCTTCCAGAAGAAATAGATATCCGGCATGACTGATTTTTTGGCTAGAAGAAGTTGGTCGGCTTATACTCTATTAATGGAGTATAGATATGTCCTATAGAAGCTGCTAGACTAAGTTTTACGGTTGGAATAAATTTAGTGATCTGGTTGAGGTGTAGATGTATGGGCTGCTGCTATCATATGAAAATTTTGTAGTCCAAAATGGGTGGGTTTTGATCTCTCCTAACTATTTTATATGGCAAGAACATTTGCAACATGCGGAAAATGTTCTGTTTCAAACGAGCTGGAGGTCATGCTCAATACAAAATTAATGAGTGGCTATCAAATATCAAGCAAATTAGTGGGTTTAATGGGAACTTACTGAATTGGTATAGATGCATTTGGATATGACATCCAATATTTTTGACATGTGGTAAGAAAAGAATACCCATAAGTGAATAAGATGATTGGGTTGAGGAAGACCCCTCTCGCTCGTTTTCTGGTGATCAGCTACCGAGGTACTCAAATACCAGCTAAATGAATGAATTTTGTACTTTTGCTCATGCTGTCACTAAATTCCAACAGAGAGTCGTTTCTTGTTATCATTCAATTTTTTTTATTTTATTTTATTTTTTTCCAATTATTTTACCAAATATTTGTTTAAAACATGTGATAAGAATTGAAGGCCTTTGATCTCTAATTCGCTAACTAGATGACTTGTATGCAGATTGGCAAGTAGGAAATGGGGAAGGTGATGGAGTTAAGTCACTGACTGCATTTTATCCTCCTGAGGCTTCCAGTGCGAACGGTATAAAAATATAAATTTGTGTAACATTTTGCTTGATGTGTACTCTGATCCTTTATTTACTTTTTTAATTTGCATCTATTTCTTGCTTTAGTGAGCATATTAATCACAGGACTCGGTGCCGATTTCACCAGGTTAGAGTCTTTTGGCAAAGTTGATGAATTTGCTGAGACTCTAGTAAGTTTCCTACATTTTTACCACAAAAAAAAAAAAATACTAGGAAGAAAATGTATTTCCCGGTGGATGGTTTTTTATCCTCCAAAGGAAAATTAGTCTTCGGAATAAATATCTACCTTTATTTTCTAGATTGGTGGATTGGACAGAAGTTGGCAAAGGCCCCCTGGAGTTGCAGCAAAACTCGTAGATAGCAAAGCTGCCAACGGTACCGAACATTTTCCCTTATTATTATTAATATGTGTCCTTTCTATAAGCATTTGATATTCTAATATAATGATATTAGAATATCATTATATGTTCAAAAGGGAAATGCTAGTGACAATGCTTAAATGTTCAATAGTTTTGTTGGCTCTTTGTGATGAGACCTGCTATTGACCCACCTCTTTCCCTTTTACAGTTTTGTGAAAGGGAAATGCTAGGCTTTGGCTTGTTGCACGAATTATAGTATTTTAATGTAGTCCGACACTAATTATAATACCGTTTTTGTAGTTGAACTCAGTAAATGAGCATTCTTCTTCCTTTTCTTCACTTTTTGCAAGTGAGATGTGTACTCTTGTAGGAATCTGTTTACCAACTTGAATAGCTTTGAGCAGGTTACTATTCAAATCCAAGTGTTAATGTTTTATTTATTGCTTAGGTTTGTATTATATAGAGTACACACTGCAGAAACCAGGCGAAACTCTCAGGCATTTGTTTTCAGTTCTCGGGATAGCAGATAATGGTTTTTACAACAGACTATATACCCTCACTGGACAGGTCAGCTCCCATTGAAAGCATGTTGATATTTTTATCCATTTTTTCTGTCCTAATTTGGATGTATGACACTCCTTTTATGAAATATTATTGGTGTGCTGCAGTTTCTCGATGATGAAGAAGAAAAATTTGGTCCCAAGATTCGAAAAGTAAGCCAAATAACATAAATATTAGATTAATCAATTTGATATCAATCCTTCTCCACATTTTAAACTATTATTTAGCCAGGTTCTTGATAATTATGCCTTTCTCCACCTTTTAGCTATCATTAAGCAAGTTTTTTGATTTCTTAGTCTGTGTAGTTTGATTCAAATAAACCTGTAAATCACTACTTCAAGATCGAGAAAAAAAGAATTGAAAAACAAATAAAAGAGGTTGTTAATTGAAGTAATACCAGTTTCTGCTTCTAACAATTGGTTTTACGTGCAGGCTGTTTCATCTTTCAGATTATTTTAATGCTAAATTTGCGATGGTTGAGGTTTAGGAAAGATCAGATCCAAAATCTGGATAACAATATTCTTTCAGGTGAAGAAAAAAGGTGCACACCCGGGTAAAATCTTGTAGCATTCATTTAAAATACCTGGGAATGCATTTTTTTATATCGACTCCTTCACATTGAAGCACCAAATACTTTTCTTAGCCGCATTCGGCCAAAGTACTGCAATTTTTCTTAGAGATTTTGAAGTCAAATGCTCATGTAATTTGAGTTGTTTGTGAATCAAACTTGGATGATAAATTTTGTCACTGTTTCCCTTGAATGCCCTTGTTTGTTTCATTTCAATTGGATTTTACATTCGGTTGAAAAATGTTTGAACTTTTGATTTAAACGAAATTCATGGGATACCTCAAGATGTATTTGGTTGGTTATATGAGCTTTTGTATTCTTATGTTAGGCGCAGTGCAAATATATTCTCATTCCAAGTACAAATCAGAGTCTTGCATCTTTAACAGGTAATCAGAAACACAGCACACGCCAAATGAATTCACTTTTCATCTCTTGAATAAGTCATTCCTAATATGTAATTTCCGTAAAATATAGTACAACACAAGGTTTAAATGGATGCTACCTAACCTAAGCCAAAATAAAAGAGGTACAAAAAAAAAAAAAAAAAAAAATCTCAATCAATATTAATAGCCTCGCCTATGTTATCCCCAGTTTTGTTTGGAGCATTTTTCCGAAACAAAAGATTGAGTCGGTCGACAAACAGGCTGTTCTGAATTTGCTGGAACTCCTGGCGTTTGCGTTCCATTTCTAACTCAAACTCCTCAAACTCATGAATCTTGCTTTCAACCTCCTTCACCTGCATTTTCAAAATTTACAGGGAAAAAAGGGGTACCAGAATAAAATCTTTTAGAACTATGAATAACAATCAGCACTAAATAGTGAATACGGAAGTAAATGGCACCTGAGTTGCAATTCCAGATATTACTTTCTCTAGCTCATCCTCTTCCTTCTCAAGCTGCGATTTTGCATCCACAAGAGCAGTTTCTTCAATCAGACTGGACTTATTGATACCATTAGATACATCATTGACTTCTGCATTGAAGAATATAGGAAGTTAAGGGTGAATTTCATATTTATTCTTTGTTTATTATTTTATCAATTTATTCCCCATTGAAATGGGTTGCACCTTGGTCCATTATTTGCCTCCCAAAAAGTGGAAAATCTATTTTTGTTGCTCCATAGTGAAAGTGAATAAAGAGATACCACCACTTCTTTGCAGTTAAGGCAGGAAATAATGCCACATAAAATCCAATGATGTGAGTAAAATTGAAGAAAATGGAATTTGAGGGTACATCAAGAATCAATCTTCCAGGGCAATTAAATGTTCTTGATCTAAGGCTAATAATAGTTTTCTCCTTTACAAGATTAGGAGGTGACTATCAAATATAAACTAGAAGAATTCAGATGTCCATGGTTTTACTTCCTTATAAATGTCTTTCCACATCAAATATAAGCTAGAAGAGTTCAGATGTCCATGGTTTTACTTCTTTATAAATGACTTTCCACCACACTTTTCTTTTATAAATGCGCTGTCAATCATGAAGTGAACATTTTTTCTCAGGTCAAGTGTCAATCAGGCAAAAACAAAGGATCTTCGGCACTTCAGTCATTTACTCCTAAGAACTTGCAAAGTTCATTAGATTGGAACAATTACTTGAGAATTAGCCAAGTCAATTTTTGTATAATGGGAAGATATTCGCACAAAGTAATTCTCTTAATTTTCATTTTTCTCATATTATCAAATCAAAACCCAGCAACCAGTAACACAATCCAATTAAAACCCACTGAAAATGGTCTTTAGTACCTTGCTGTTTATTATCACCAAGATCATACAAAGCCTTCACAGCTGCATGTGCCGCCACTTCTGCAACATTTACTCCAACCAATGTTGAAAGGAAAGCAGCCTGAAGATAGATTTATTAACAAACTGAACTTAATAAAGACACCAAAATTAAATCTATCTATCACATGCCAGAACAATGTCAAACAAAACAACACAAGCCCCTTCAATTTGGGTAAAATAGCAGATTATTTTCCATGAAAACACAAAAGGACCGCCAACATCCACCAAATCATCAATGGCAGAAAACTTAATGCCTTTCCAAGAAATTTTATAAATATTGGAAAGATTTTTTCTTTTATCTAAACGTTACAATTTATACACATCTAACAATATTTCTCTAGAAACTATACCTTTTAACAAACAGAAAAACAGATGAGGTTGTGCTACCTGCACCATAATTGGGTTGCTTGCATCTGCAAGTGGCGAGAGGCGCATCCTTTTGGCCTCCACTCCCGCATTTTGCAAACCTGACTCAGCATCCAGCTCGGCAGATTCCGGAGGGCCGTCAAACTCTTCGCCAAATGGAAGCTTTAAGAACCGAGCTACGCATTCCTTTGCGGTTTTCCCACTAACATGCTCGGCTACCTTCTTCCAGTCATCACCATAATGCATGACGGCTTCTAAGAGCTGCAAAGTCTCTTTATCCGTCCAGTCCGTCTTGGCTTCTTCACTAATCTCGACTCGCTTGAAATCCGCAGAACTCAAACCCACCCGATAATTGCCCCTCACGTAGCACCTCGCGCAAAGGGTCATATCATGCTACTTGCAAGTTCGAAAACCAGCTCAGATTTCAAAAAATGGATATGAAAGGGAGAAAAAAAATGCATTCTACAAGACTAATAATGCTAAGAATGACAAAGAAAATAGGCAAGCAATCGATATTAAGCAAAAACCTTATCAGATGCGAAGCAAGCAATTGTGCAAGGAGTCTTGCAGCCATTGCAGACCCTCTTCTTCTGAGCAGAAGCATCGGTTGTGGATCCGGCATCACTGCCTTGAGCTGCAGATTTGGTCTCTTTATCCTCCCATTTCAGCTGGGGCCTCGTGGAGCCTGTGTAATTGATTAAACCCCAGGCTTCCAGGAAATCGAAAACCCTCCGGATAGACCCAACGTCTCCCACCAGGGTCTTCCGCACGTCAGTGAAGGTGATTTTCCGGCTCGGATTTTCCCGGAAGCGCCGGACGGTGGCGTTACGGTAGTACTTGTAAACCCTAGGGTTCTTCGCAGGCGACCGGCCGTCGAAGAACTCCGGGAGGAATCTGGCCTCGCATTCATGAATGGCATTCCACGAAAACCACCCTAATCGAAGCAATACGAATGATAGAAAGCAATACGCACATATAAATCAGTTATTTTATACATAAATTGGATGATACGACGTACGGGAATAGCTGGGGATGTGAATAGCGTCGGCGTCCGGATCAGGATGGCGAGGAGTGGCGGCCGCCGGAGTGCCGGCAGGAGTGGATGGGGCGGGAGTGGGTGCAGGGGTGGCTGCGGCGACGGCGGATGGTGGAGGAGGAGCGACGCCGGTAGGTGTTGCGGGGAGGGCGAAGGGAAGCTCCAGCGAGGGTTTGGGGGGAGGCGNAATCTGAATTTAGGATTTGCACGAGTAAATTTCATACTTTTCAGCTTGATAAAGTAAGGTGAAATATGGTTGAGTGAATATTTTTTTATTAATCAAATTTTTGATTGATGGAAGAAATATAATAGAAGAACTAAAATATTAATACAGAATATAATGATATGAAAAATAATAGTTAATTATGAGTCATAACGAAATTGTAAAACAATAATTTATAATTATAGATATGTTCCTAGATGAACATTGGATTTTTTATATATAAATTTATAGTGATGATTGAATTTAATTTTAATGTATAGAATAGTTGAGTGGAATGAAGTAAACAAAGTGAAATAATATATTTTTTTAATTGTTGCGTGTAACTGTTACCCGAGTTAAAATTGTTCGCAAATACAATGTAATTCAGCTCATTAAAACTTGAGCTTTACTTAAACGATTTGTACTCGAATAATTCATTTGTTGAATGAATTGTGTTGAGCTTGTCCACGAACAACTTATTTCTTATTTTTTTTAAAAAATTTTAAATGACATGGGGGAGCCGAATCAGTTTGCATTTGAACGTTTTATCATGCTGATGAAGATCGTGTATCAAATACGTAACAAAAGTATAAATCCGTACTAACAACCGTCGCTCGAAATAAAGATTGGTGCTCGGAAAGAAGCTTTTTTCTTAATTATTATTGCATAATCTTCAAATGAACAAGTCTCAGTCTTTTTAAAAGAAAAGCCACGAAATTCATCCTACAACCTGCACTAACTATCATCCTAAAAGAGCTTGAAAATTAAATAAAACTACTCCCGCTCATGCATGAACTGTTGTTGCTGAAGAAACCGCCGCGGCGTGAAGACGAACAGGCCTCGTGGCGTCTCGAGCCTCGCGGCTTGGCGTCTGATCATTCCCCAGCCTTTGTTGCCTCGTGTGGCTGGTTGTGGCGTGAAGGAGATGGGACCGTCGCGGCGCGATGCTCCGCTACGTCGTAGCCTCTGTCCAGTCGTGACGGTCACCACGGCGCGACGGAGGCGTGACGCCCTGTTTCTCTCGGGTTGGCACGATCACTCGGTTTGCATCATTCCTTCCCCCTTCACGAATGTCCTTATCCTCAAGGATAAAATTCTCCGAAGTCGCCTCCTAATCCTTGCTCGTTTTTGTATGACCCGACTCATGTTTCTCCACGAATTTCGTTCTCTTTCTCTTGCTACAAGCTTCAATCCTCTAGCTGATGGCCTTTGCAATTTGACGGGACCACGCCTCACTTACACGACCTCGCTCTGCTATTGTCATCCTTCCGATTCGGCGTGACCAAGCATCTACTCATCCACATTTATTCAATTATGGATGACTAGACCCTTCATTTTGTCAAATCTTCGTGGCCACACATTCTCACAACCCTCCCCACCGTGAACTGCAATCCATCTGAACCACGCTTCGTCTACATAGCACCAAATCATCAGAAACAAGTTCAACCTTTGTTGGTACCGAATCTTCTACTTCTTCAACCACGTTCAATAATGAAGTATAAACACCACATCCATCAGTCTCATGACTCTCATCATGAAAACGAGGCAGACCGTCATACTCGGTCGACTCTTGTTCATCCAAAAACTCGGTGGCTTCTAGGCCACCAAAAAACACAGGGTTTTCGAATAATAACGATGACACCCAATGCCGATTCAACGACGAACTGACCTTCATTCTATTGGTTCGACCCCCTCGACTGATTATCTTCGGCTTCAGTAAATTCGCTTTGTAATTTCGGTCCCTTCTCAAATTCTATGGTTCCATCTGGCGGCGAATCTGAATTGGCCCTTCGCGTGCGTAATGATGAATTTGATTCGCCCTTTCGCGTGCGTCTGGTGGTCCTTTGGAGCAACATCCTTTCGATTTGCATTGTACATCCTTGTTAATTGAACATACTTTGTCCTCCAAATGATCGATTCGCTCTCTGTTTGACATGGTTACACGATCAATACTCTCTCAATGAAAGCATCAATGATGAAGATCGTGTATCGAATACGTAACGTCGAATACGTAACGAAAGTGTAAACCCGCACTAACGGTCGTCGGTCGACACAAAAACTGGTGCTCGAAATCGATCGTTTTTCTTAATATTATTGCATAATATTCAAAGGAACAAGTCTGGGTCTTTTTAAAAGAAAAGCTATGAAATTCATCCTACAACATGCACTAAGTATCTTCCTAAAACAGTTTGAAAATTAAGTATCGCTCATGCACGAACTGCTGCTGCGGAAGAAACCGTCGCGACGCGAAGACGAACAAACCTTACGGCGTCTCGGGCCTCGTAGCATGGTTCCTGATCACTCCCCAGCCTATGTTGCCTCGTGAGGCTGTTCACGGCATTGAAGAAGATGGGACTGTCGTGACGCGGCAAGCGTCGGGACGCGATGCTCCGCTGCATCCTAGCCTCTGTCCAGTCATGATGGTCATCACGGCGCGACGGGGGCGCGACGCCCTTGCTCTCGGGTTGGCACGATCACATTGTTCGCATCACATGTTAACAACTTCGTTTAGATATTCAGTTTTGAGAATATAACTAATTTACACCCTGCTCTGATGATATACTAAGTTTTTCACGCCGCTCATTGATAAGTTATCTTTTTTACTTCAGAAGGCATTGTGCGATGAATATGCTACAGTTGTGCAATGAATATGCGACAGTTATGTGATCCATTTGCATAACCATTCGCACTCTCTGGGTGAAAAAATTAAAGTGCAAAGACATTGTGCGATTAATATACGACAAGTATGCAATTGATATGTGACAGTTATGTGAACCATTCGCATAACCTTCACACCTTTTGAGGTGAAAAAATAACATTGTTAGTGTAGTGCCCCGTTTATTTGTGGATTATTTGAGAAATATTATTATTATTTTTATTTTTATTATTATTGTTATTATTATTTTTGTGATAATATTTATATTTATTTTTCTTGAATGCCATAATATTAATTAATTGCCAAATGTGATTAAATGCTAAATGTCTAATTGTCTAATTGATTTTGTGATTTATTATATTATTAATGTGAAATAATGTGTATTTAAAAATATGTACAATATATATATATATATGGTTCGGTTTATTTTTTTTATCGCGCGTTTGCATTCGTAATCGAGCCCGAGAATTTTCGTTGGAACTGAAATTGGGCCCGAGAATGTCCGTTTGAATCGTAAGCGAGCCCGTGAGCCGATTTGATGTCGCAACCGGCCCAACCGGCCCAAAACCAATTTGACCCAACTTCTCGGGCTCGGCCCGACAGATTTTTTCTCCTCTTTTTCTTTCGCGTGAGTCGTGTGTTTGGAGTTGTTTTTGTCTTGGACATGAAGATTTCTCATTAACCCTAATGAGAATATATATAATTCTCCATCTCGATTTCTCTCTTCATAAACGTACCCGCAGCTTGTTCTTTTTCTGATCGATAAACCCATCTCTCGTCTTTGATTCTTCCCCTCACCTTTCACGCAAATCGCCGCCATCGGTCTCTTTTCTTTTTGTTCACGCGCAAGCAGCAGAAAATCCGGCTATCACCATCTCAATCATCACCCTCGTCGTCCATCATCACCCTGGTCGTCATCATCGTCTCTATCTCATCATTCCGTTCGTGAGCAGGACTTCTTCATCTCGCCATCCTCCTCTGTTCGAAATTCCGGTGGCCTGCAACTTCCGGCGGGATTGTGTTCCTGTGAGCAGTCCACGACCGCCGGCGAGCCCTTCTCGCAGCAACTCGAGCAGCGATCTCCGACGATCCCTTGCAGCGAATTCCGGCGACTTTTGTTTGTCCTTCGAGCAGCCCGCGAGCCCGGCGACGTGAACACTTCCGAACGTGATTTTCCGACGAGCAGCTTCTCCTCCGGCGACCTTGCAGCATCGTTCGGCAACCTAGCAGCAGTGACCCATCCCCTCTCGAAGCCCCTGCAGCACCTTCTCCTTTCGGCAAGACGCGAGAATCCGTCGAGCCCCGTTTGTGTTTCGTTTCGTTTTTCGAGTTGTTCCCGAGAACGGTACCTCGTCGTTTTTCCGTCTCGTTTAACTCGTATATGATTTATTTCGTTATGTGTTTATTGTCGTGAGGTGCTCGTTGAACAATGAAATATATGTGTGAATTGCTTGATGTGAATATGTGCGTTTATATATTATTATGATTTTATGTGTTATCGTATGTTCGGGACCTCTTCGATTTTCTCAAGAATCGAACGAGACCTCGAAAGTCGTGTAAGTAGGTGGATATTGGAACAATGTCGAGCCCTTGTCTTGTGAAAAGGCCTCGGACGAGAAATTTTATTTAAGAATTAATTTACGAGTTGTCGAGCTTTTGAATTGTTGTTTTGGTGTTTGAATTTTTAAAAATATCTCACTGCTCGGAATGACTTGAAATTTTGAGGGATATGTTATCTGTTCATTTCCAGCCTTGGGTAAAAATTTCGTAATTTTTAGAGGCCTGTAGCTATATTTAATAATTAAAGTGAAATCTGATCAGAATAGTGTTAAATGCATAAAACATTCATTCGTGAATGAAATGAGCTAAAATTCGAATATGTCATGCCTCTGTGACTTTTATATGTTTTGTTAAATGTTAAGAATTTTTGGACGTGATTTGATGGGGCTAATAATTTACTTATCGAATCTGTTGAAGCGTTGTTTGAATTTTTATAAATTGGTTATTTCGTGAAAAATTCTGAAATTTTACTGAGATGCCTATTTTATGTGTTGAATTATGTTTTTAAAAGATGGGAATTTTTGGAGTCCATTTTTATTCAGTTTTTATTTAAATTCGATAAACTGCTGATGCTCGTACGAATTTTTAAAATTAGTAGCGGTCAACATTCAGAGCTGAGATTTTTATACATGGACTTTAGCATACTGTATGTTGTTGTGTTAAATTTTCAAGTTCTGATTCGTTCATTAAGTTCAAGTATGAATTAATGTTCCCATTTTGTTGATATCTTGTTCGAATTTTATAAAATAGTGTATTTCGTGTTTGAAGCTGAAAATTTGTGGTTTTACATGTTTCTGAGAGATGAAATTTTGTGTAAAGTTTCAGAGCTTAATTCGTAGGGTAGCCTGACCATCTATTTTCATGTGATTAATGATTTCTATTTTCGAAACATGTGATTAATGATTTCTATTTTCGTTATGTTGTGAGGTTGACTTAGTCTACCATTAGATGGAATTATTTGAACTCTCATATGTTGGTTGGTCGAGTTTTGTATTGAGTCTTATTGTTCCAACGTCCACAGGACTTCACGAACTACTTAGTCGAAACAAGTTCGACTAGGTCTGTTTTGTGTTTTCCGTTTAAAGTTAAGATAGATGTTGATTGTAGCATCTTGACTTAATGTAGGTGATTGAGGAGTCCAGCCTCGACCTACTTCCATTGCTTTGAGTTATTATCAATCCGGAATCCAGTTGGGTTATTCTAAAATTATCTATGCATATGTGTGATTTATTTATGATAAAAGTTTGGTGTGATCTATGTATGAAAATGAACATGTAGCCTATCGATGTGAGCTTGATGGCCGTCGATACGGTTGTCCCCGTATGATAAGATACGGTTACCTTGTGAGGTAAATCTCATACAGACCTATGAGAAGGCCGTGTCATTGATGTGGCACGCACTCCCATGTTTCACTGATATGGCATGGCTTGGCTTTGATGAGCATAGATGTACATGAGTGAGTCTGTGATGAGACTAGAGTCATTGATGTGACTAGAGATGTGACATGATTTAATTGTTTATGTTCATGCTGCGACCATACCATTTATAAGTTATTCATGTGCATAGTGTGAGTACGATAGTTAACTGTACTCATCCCACCTGCTCGTAACTTATGCAGGTTAAGCAGTTGGCGGGCGACGAGACGAGATGACGAGTGGTGGTTATGACATTTATTTATTTAATTTTGCTTCTGCTTAGTTTATGAACTCATGTCGAAATTTGAATATTGATCATGTCGTTTGAAACTTGGGAGTTATGAATTATCTTTTGTGATTTTGAATTTAATGAATGCTAGTGAGGTTTATGATTTAATATTCGAGCATGCTATCTTTGTTTAATGTGGTTGTTTTTGCGGATAAAAGCTTTTGGAAAAAAAAAATATAACGCCCACTGAGTTTTAAATTAAATTTAAGTTTGAAAAAAAAATAAAAAATTATTATGATTTTTGTTAAATAAATTCGATAAATATTTCAAAATAAAGTGGGGCGTTACAGTTAGTGTGCGGTATAAAAACTTAAAATATATTTAAAGTAGGATGAAAAGTATTTTCACCCTTTAGTATTACT